TCTCTGAGCTCAAATATTGTATAATTTCCTTCTTGGTAGCCTCAAGAACATTTTTACATCGGGCAACATCCCCCTTAATACCAACAAGGTGTTTCTTAAACTGGTAAATGCCCCCATTAGTATCCTTTCCACAATAATTACATTTAATACGATTTTTGTCATTCGAATTCGGGTTATAACCATACTTCCAACCCAAATCACCACTTCTAGAAGAACCTAGAGAAGGTATTTCCGTAGAACAAGGCCCATTTTCATCATTTTTTGGTTCTTTAAAATTCAGAAGTTGTCTAATCTCATCCCGAATAGCTTCAGAAAGCTTTTTATAAGAAGCAACATTCCCTATATTACCAACAAGGAGTTTCTTGAATCTGTTAATACCCCCATTGGTATCTTTTTCACAAAAATTACACCTTATACAATTTTTATCATTTGGTTTTGGGTTATAACCATACTTCCAACGCGGATCACTTCTTGTAGAAATAACATAAATAGATCTATTCAAATGACAAGGATTTTGTTCCTGTTTTTATTTTACAAAACTCATATATTGCTTAATCTCCTCTCTAATAGCTTCAGGAACATTTTTACAAGGGGCAACAACCCTCTTAATATCGACAAGATGCTTTTTAAACCGGTTTATTCCTCCTTTTGTATCTTTTTTACAAAAATTGCATCTAATAATATTTTTTTCATTTGGATTCGGGTTATATCCATATTTCCAACCCGGATCTCCACTTCAACTAGATCCAAAAGAAGACATCTCAAAATAAAACAAGCAATCTAAAAAATAAATTTTTTGACTTACTTTGATTGCTCGAACTCCAAACTCCCACCTCTAAGATGTTTTCTGGTGCTAAAATAATAAAAAACACCCTTTAATAGGATTATAAAACTCCAAAAGTAAATCAAATCTACTTGGGTGATGTTTGGATCCGTTTTCCGTAACTTTGATAAGGACTTTGATCCATTGAAAGTCACAAAATTTAGTTTTCTTGAGGTTTCTTTCTCTCTAAAATGGGTTATTGTGGGTTCAGGTTTGAAATGAACCTAAAACCCATCATTCAAACCCTTTATATTTAAAAACAATCAATACAACTAAAAAAAAAAAATTTCGCCCCTAGACGGGGCGCAGGCCTTGGGCGGCCGCCTCCTAGTTCGTCCACCTAGGCCTGGGCGATGCGCGCCTAGGCCTTCTGGACCGCCTAGACGCTGGGCGGTCCGCTTTTTTTAACACTAACAGAAGTCGATCTTAAGCCTAAGCTTCCAGCCTATGACGGTTCAACATTTACCGAATTGATCCCACTCCCTCCTCCAACTATGAATCAAATCCATCACTCATTATGAAATCCTTCCAAAGATACATTGATTTCGCATAACAGGTGTTTCCAACACCCAAAGGTCTCTTTTAATACTGTAAGATAATCACTACAATGTTTTTTATGTTCCCCATCTAGGCCAAGATTAATTTTCATAATGCTGAAATTGAACTTAATGCTAAGTCTCCAAGGTCAAATCGAGTCCACACATAAACTCAATAAATAAGCAAGACCAAAAAAATTACATGTTGAAATCAAGAGATCGTACAAGGAGAAACCACATACCCTATTTTCTTTCTTTCAACTATTTGATTTTAAATGAAATCAAACAAAAATTCGAAGACCCAAATTCAAAAAGATGTGTCTAGTGTCCCATTCTTGATTTATATTTCCCCTGTTCATTTAGAAAAAATTCTTAAGCGCCATAACAAATATAGGCTTTTCTTTTTTAATTTGAAAAAGAACATAAAGAAATAGAGGTGCGTATTAGAAGGGAAGGTTTCTCTCAAATAAGTCCGATGATTGTCCCACAAACTCCTATAAAGGATCTCCCAAATCCTGGTATCTAACACTTTATTTTTTTAATCTCTGATGGATCTAATTCAATATGGATTTTGAGGGGCTATGAGCTATGCTGAGACATTGTTACGATATAGACGAAGTAGCTTTCAATTAGAAAATGATCATGATCAACTAAGACAAGGACTTCAACAAAAAGATACACATTTTTCTTATTTGATAAATGATACTCTGTGCCAAACCCCAAGCTTGGGTAAACTAGTTATTAGTCAACATCCTCAGGGTTCATGAACCTCATGAAAGCCCAAATAAAGCATTGCAGCCAAAATAGAATCATCATGGCATATCACTATTTTATTCAAGAATCATTTTCCCCCATTTATGCAAACTCCGAGTCATATTAGCTTGTAGCATAGTTGTTGGGATCAGATCTGGAGCTAGAAGCCCCCAGCTAGGACTGCCATTACACTAAACAAATATTTAAAGAAGAAAAAAAAAGTTCAAAAAATAACAGAAGGATATTGATGCTAGAGTTCTCTTAAAAAACATTTTCTAGAAAGAAGATGCCACCCTACTTAATCCTAAGTTTACCTTGTGATGCAATTTGTAGTTCCTACAACGGGCTTAGCAAAGTAGAAACCAAGCTTTTCCTTAGCTTTAGTAGAAAGAGTTCTGAAGAAAAAAGGGAACTTGTTCCCAAAAGAACGGGGATGTCTTAGGAATAAGTTCTGGCTCCCAAACCACAGAACTTCTGGGAGTGATAGATGGAAGGTCCACGTAACTATAACATGCACCTTTGTCTTCAAAAAATCGCATCTTGATGGGCCAGATTTGAAACTGTAAAAGTAAATAAACCACACCAATCCATATCACTCCAGTTATCCCTCAATTCAAGCCTATCCAAACCTGAAAGTAGCTCCAACAATACGCCTATTCGAGCCTGACCTCACCCAGAAACAACTCTGCTTCATTAAGTTTCTCATTCAACACACTAGTGGTACAATTCTTTTCATCATTTCTGTAACCAAATTGAAAGATAAATACATTTGTAATCCATGAAGGGGGTCAAACTAACATATAAAGACAAGAAATATTTCAAAAGGAAAAAATATTTGAAATTCAAGGGCACTGATGAACTTCATCGTAGAGCAACATTAGATCTTAACATAGAAATGTATTGAAGTGCTTTAAAGAATTGAATGTGAATTAGCCCATCAATATGAGAAAATACACTTAGGGTTTGAGAAAATAGAACTTACAAGCAATAAAAAAGCTTAAAATAATGAGTTTCAAACTGAGTCGAACTTCAGACATAGTAATATATTTATGCACTCTTATTGAATGCATTAAAGCTTTGCTTTATGTTGCTTACAAAAATGAGTTTGAAACTGAGTCTAACTTCAGACATAGTAATATATTTATGCACTCTTATTGAATGCGTTAAGTTATCCTTATTCCCTACATTTTCTTATCATTACAAATCTCCCTACTTTAGCAAGTTGACTGTCCAAATATTGAGTTGCCTTGACTTATTAGTTGGGAGAGTCAAGCCTAAGTATTCAATAGATGATCCAAGATTCAAATATTATACTGTTCCCACATTTATCTTCGTATCTTGTATTGTTCTAATCATATATTCAGCTAAGTGTACCACCCAATATAGTCTCAAATTTATAATATTAGAAATACATATAAATTTAAAAGATATAACATATTCTACAGTAATTAGCAAGAGACATATTAATCATGCCAATTAATTGGGGTCGGCTATATGAATCCTGGTTCTCCATTCTGCTCTATTAAATGTCATATCCTCAGTGAGGCCATAAGTCCCCATATCTTTTCGGACTACTTCCAACCACGTCCTTTTAGACCTACCCCTTTCCCTTTTTAGTCCTTCCACTTGAACTAACTCACACCTCCTAACAGGTGGGGTACTTGTTAGGCGCTACACATGTGTACTCTCTCTCATTTTATCGCCTATTGATGCCACACCTAAATTCTCTTAAATAGATTTATTTCGAATTCTATCCCTTCTGTCTTGCCACTCATCCATCTCAACATCCTCATCTCTGCTACACTCATTCTATGAATATATTGTTTTTTGTCTGCTCAACATTCCACCCTATAGAGCAAAGATGGTCTCACTGTTATCCTATAGAACTTGCCCTTCAACCTCATTGGTATGCGGCGATCATATAAATTTCCAATTGCACATTTCCACTTCACCCATCCAGCACTAATTATATGCGTGACATCTTCACCGATCTCTCCATTTTTTTGGAGTATCGACCCAAGACATCGAAAGTGCGGTCCTTTTTGTACTTTCGGGTCGTCAATCTTAACTACTTCCTCGTCTCTACTCCTATTATTACTAAACTTGCACTTCATATACTCTGTCTTAGTCCGACTAATTTTAAAACCTTTGAATTCTTAAGTATCCCTCCAAAGTTTTAACTTTGTGTTGATGTCGTTTCAGGTCTCATCAATCAAAACTGTCATCTGAGAACAACATTCACCATTGTACCTCATCTTGTAGGTGCCTAGTTAAGTCGTCCATAACTAAGACAAAGAGGTACGGGCTCAATACTAACCCTTGGTGCAGACATACTATCACAGAAAACTCGCTCGCCACTCCACTAATTGTTCGTACACTAGTTAGTGCTCCATCATACATATCTCTCAACAAGTTGATGTAGTGTCTAAAGACACCTTTCTTTTCTAACACCCGCCAAATCAAATCTCGAGGTACTCTATCATAAGTTTGCTCTAGATCAATAAAGACCATGTAGAGGTCTTTTCCCTTCACCCTAAACTTCTCAATTTGATTTTTTTCTCAAATTTTCCAAAATTGAAGATGCGTATTGCCTCATCGTGGCAATCAAATAGTCATAAAACTGAAATCACTTTCCAGAAACAATGAAAAGAAACACCAAGCAGACGAGCAAAGATGCAGTGTTGTTTTTCCAGTACAAGTCCTATCTACAAAAGCTCATGCAAACAGTCAAAAATATAAAAGCATAAAGAGAACCTCATTCTTTCGGCCCTCTATACATGAGAGTAATTGGCTTGAGTGAAAGAATTTGGTGTCCAATTTACAAAATAACAACTCTTGATCAATCAAGAACGAAGATCTCTATAGCTTGGTTAAGCACTACGTGTTACCAGCTTCAAATGCATAATCACTTGTCAGGGGATCCTTAACCACCGCTACCGTGAGGCCTGCGTTTGTTGTCGCGTTACCACATACATAAATCCCCCGTGGAGCAACAGCAACTGCTGCTTGCAACAGTTGGCTCTTACCCAATCCAGGATCACCTGCAACCAACCGTTTTACCATTTACAACTTATTTATCGACATAAAAAATAATGAAGTTGCTAAAATAAAGTTTTCTAATGTTGCTGAATCACAAATAAATGATTATTATCAAAGAGGACAATTACTGAGTCGCTCTCATAGAATGATATAGAATTTCATGATAAGAGTAAAACATTGTTTTCTGTACCAACAATAATGACATGGACGTCTCCTCGTACAGGGACTTTGTTCTGGTCCATCAAGTTCTTTTGCACGCCCCCAAATAATGCAAGTGTTATACCCGCTGTTCAGAACAGTCAAAAAACTATAATTCATCAACTCAAAGTCCCGGGTCCACTTAACAAGAAACATCAGTTGACCATTACATAGAGGTTTTTCCAATGAACCATGAAGCATAAGAAGATTGGTATCATAATGATATAATCATCATATGTGATATCATCTGCCTTCCGCATGAAAGAGTTATTTCTGCTTATGATCATGTCCATGAGCCTCATATATTCCAAACATACAAAATTTCAGCACATTCTCACGGTCAAAGAGCAACTAAAAAAATTTCTGCTACAATCCAAAAATTACTAAATCAACGGCGACTGAACAGTCACAAAGAATGAGTGAAGTAAACAGCCAATGCATCGTAAAGTTTACCAGACACACAAAAGAAACAAATAAATAAATATATATATATATAGAAGCCAAGACTGATCCATATTCCCATGTCATGAAAATTAAGACAAGATGATTGCTCAATGGAAAACTACCTCAAACCTTGAAGACAAAAACAGAAAAAAACAAAAATGATGGTGGAGAACACATGAATGTTTCAACTAATATGCTAGTGTTATATGATCAATTACAGGGATTGACTATAACTAATTTGACCTAAGGACATTGCAATGGATCTTAGTATATGCAATGATTCAACTTGCAGAATCTAAGATTAGAGGTTCCAAAATATAGTTGTTGCAAACGTCTATGATTCTGAATAGTTTTTGGAATCGGAATTGCGGAATCGCGTGTATCAGAAGTTTCGAAATCAAGGAATCGATGTCCGTACGATTCAAAATTGAGAAAAATGATTCTCACTATTTCGGAATCGCAATTCAAAAAATTACGAATCGTGTTTCCTATTTGCAAGAATCGATGTCCCTTCATGTTGGAATCGCGTTTCATACCTATATGGAATCCCACATGACCCCGCTTAATTCAATGGTTGCTGAAATTCTAGAATTACTTTGAATGATATAAAATAAGTTGATGTGGACAACGATTCTAGAATTTTAAGAATCCATTTATCTCCTTTCTTTGAAATTCTATATATGGAATCACACATGATATAGTAATTCTTCTTTGTTAAATGTAGTTTTGAGTCTTTTGACTTTTGAAAATTGAGTTATTAAATTTTTAGTCAATTTCTCTGATATTTAATGATTAATTTAACCTAAAACACCATACATGGCACTTTGCTCATATCCTTATTATCTTCTTATTTTACTTAAAGAAAGCATTTTTATCCTCTTATTCAACTTGAAGAAATGACGGTGCCAATCATATATTAAACATTATTACATTAGAAATTTAGTACCCACACCATTTACCAAACATTATTAAATTTCAAGGAACATATTTTTTTAGTATTATTTATTCTTGGTAAGAGTTCTTAAAAAGTAACATGGAATTAAGGATGGAAATTAGTAAATAAGAAAATAAAAAACTTAACATATTACTTATATTTTAAATTTTGATTTTATTGGCGTACGCAACAACTTCAAATTCTCTCACACTCTCATACATGTCGCACTCACTCATGATTGAGCACACATCGAAGGGTTTATTCTCTCCCTATGCTCACTTATTACTCACATTTTAAATTTTGATTTTACTGCCGTGTGGAACAACTTCAAATTCTCTCACGCTCTCATACATGCCGCGCTCACTCATGATTCAACACACATCGAAGGGTTTCTGCTCTCCCTATGCTCACATTGTCCTGACAACATGGATTCGCAATTCCTTGATACTTTGAATCAACGTTTGGCATAAGTAGAATCGCATTGTTGTGTAACAAGGAATCATGATGTCTTCAATATCGAAACTTAATTCCAAACAACATGGATTCGCAATTCCAAAAAATTTGGAATCAACATTTCTTACAAGCAGAATCGCATTCTTGTGTAGCTAAGAATCATAAAGTCCTTGATATGGAATTATGATTCTAGCAATCCAGTAATCAAGATTCCTAAACTAGGTGGAATCGAGTTTGGTAAAAATGGAAACGTGATTCCGAAACGGAATCACTACACTCATAAGCGATTCAGGTAACTATATTCCAGAATGATAGACAACGACAAGCGATCTGCAATAAATCACATTTATAAAAAAAAATACAAAAGTCACATTTATGAAAAAGTTTTGAGTACCATCCTTATTGAAAACTCTAGAAGCTCTTTTATGTAGCTAGTTACTAGCTTAACCCACAGTTCTGCAGGAAAACAATTGCTCACCATAATATATTTATGAGCATGCATTAACACATCCAAGACCTAACCCCAAGGCAACACCACCTAAAATTTAACCATAAAATATACATTATTGGAGAAAAAGGATGAAATTTTAAAGATCCTATGATGGGACAATCTTGATAATATTTCATTCTATGATTATATGATTCATTGCGTTTTTATTATCATTGGATCAAGATAAATTTGATTTCAGGTTTGCAGGGGCCTTCTTCATTAAATCAAGATAAGCACATTCCAAGATTGCAAGATCCTCATAGGGGAGGGTTTTCATCGAAGTCATGCAGAGAATCCGGCCTTTTCTTTCAATCGCATAAATTTTCTTTTATATCAAATTAAAAATACTTTTCAATAGCTATGGTTGTGTCACTGAATTTGGTTAAAATTGAAACCTAAGAATCCCTAAAATCTATGAGGAATATGGATCCTTTGTTAAATCAGTGCAATCCACTGCATTTCCTAGAAATTTTCAATACATATATATCACATATACATATATAGTCCACAAAGCCAATGGTTCATCTTCAATAGCATCCGACAAAAGTTGAGACTTGGCAGCTTATTTGTATGAGACTTGACAGCTTATTTGTACGAGAACAGAAAACCATCCAGGGATGAAAGAGAGGATGAGTATGTTCTAAGGAGAAACAAAAAGGCTGGCAAGGTATGCCTAAAATTGGAGACTTACCCCTACTGCAGTCAGGACGTCATGAGGATCCCTGTGGGATGACCTTCCACTTTTTCTAGTAAACCGAGAGTGGTTTGTGAGCATCCCAGGGTTATATTGTACAGGTTCATCATCATCATTGTCAAAGCCTTTTCCCTACTAATTGGGGTAGGTTACATGAATCCTGGTCCGCCATTCTGCTTTATTAAGGATCATACCCTCAATGAGGCCAATTGTACATATTAAAGATAAAAATGAGAAATAGCTAAAGATGTATAAGCCGGCATAGATTCAATAAAGGACAGGTCTTGAACAATATGGGATCGTAATGGTAACCCTTTTGAATTTCTTCACAGCTTAGAAAACCATACATAATACATATAGATTTTAGTTTGCTTTGCCATACTATCCTTGGCTAAGAAAATTAGGTTAGACCGTTGGGATCTGGAGTGGGATCAAGATTGGGAGGGGAGAATTGTGAAAGGCTAGTAGATCACTATGGGTGGGAGTGTAGTTTGTACAATGCATGTTAGGAATCGAGATCTCCAAATGTTAGAGATCTCGATCCCAACCATTTGGGGATCTCAATCCCGCTATTTTGGGATCTCGCACCTAACCTTTTGAAGATCTTACCCAAACCTTATAGAGTATATATGGTCTAGGACTGTATATACGTTTTTAAGTAAGGATCTCTTTATTTATAGCTAGCAAGCAAATAAATGTATAGCTGTATTGCTAGCTTGTTATAAATGAGAAAAATCATCAGTTTCGTCATTATCTTGGCCTTTAAGATGGGTAGATATCCCTAACAATGGAGATTGAAATCCCAAAATTTAAATCGAGACCCCGTGAAGGTCCCTCTCCTAGAGCACCAAGTGTTATTCTAAAGGGAGGCCACCACTTAGATTGGGAGATCCTTGACACTACGGGTTGGGCGATATAGATTTCCTTTGACAAGGTACTAATAATGCCATATTGTAACCATGTGTCAACTACAGTGAGCAGCACCAAGAACTAGAAAGAAGTCAAGCAACTACCAGTAAATTTGACCCATTGCGTCCAAATAAACTTCTTCCATGACACTTATAACACTCGCTTCATTGCCCTGTTCCCTACAGTTCGTGTCCTCTCTCTCTCTCTCTCCACCCCCACACTTTAGGGCCACTTAGATATGATTGGTATGGGTGATGTCAAATCTGCCTTTTGGAATATTTAGTAGAAATGATTAGCAAGGGTTTTGGATTGCACAAGACGTTTTGTTAGAATTGGGTGATCATTTCTTTGCTTCTAACATATGCCTCTTCCGCCTTCATTGAAGAAATCACGCGCACGAACCTATTATGGATATTGTGGTACTGTTATATAGGAGACTAGCATAGATTTGTATTTATTTTGTAGTTCGGTGTCTTTTCTGGTGGTTAACTGTTGGATAACTTGACAGTGATGGTTACTGTGAATATTATTTGCTCCTAAAACAAGATAACTTGACAGTGAAGGTTACTGTGAATATTATTTGCTCCTAAAACAAGTATCATGTTTCTTAACACTTTCATCTAGTAATGTTATGGCATTTCAAACACTTGATGTTATTTGCTTTGAGTTGTGGGGTCCCTCTCTTATTTTGTCAAAAGCTCGTCTTCTTTGTTGTGGCATTTATTATCAATCTCTCATGACCTATGTTCAATGCTTCTGCTCTTTCCTCTAGGCTGTTGATGGAAACTGTTGTATGTATGTTATTTCTCTTTTAACAAACATATAAAGAAATTTCTGTGGTTGATCATGATTTCTTGAAGGAAGAATTCTGTTGTTGAATGCTACGTTCTGCTCACTGGACGAAGGACAAGTCGTTTGATGTGGTTGGGTTTTCTAGTATAACTGGACTGGAATCAAAGTGGACTTGGTTCTGACCATAGTTGTTCGAAATGATTCCAAATCCAAATCGTTTTGGGAATCGAAATCGTATAATTGTAGTCGGCTAAAAGATTCTTGTTTTTGGAATCGACATCTGTACAAGAGGAATTGTGGGAAACGAGATTTCTATTTTGTAGGAATTAAGATTCGACCGAAATGGAATGGAGATCCCTACATAACGAGATT